TATGGTACCATTTTTGTGATATTTGACCTAAAATATGTTGTTTTAAACACATAAGGTTAACTTGACTTAAATGTCACAAAAAGGTAAAAACAAATTTTACAAAGTTTATAATTCAATATTTACCGTTTGGTGACGTAAAGAAAGTAAAAAACTAGAAAACTGACTTTATCATACTAAAAGTTCATATACTTGTGTTAGATGTATAATATATGTTATTTATGAACATCTAAACATGTTAACTTATATATATATATATATATATATATATATATATATATATATATATATATATATATATATATATATATATATTGTAACGCCCCGTTCGAAAAGTACTTATTTATGAACTTCCGAGATCAAGAGTAAGGGCGTTTCGGTCTTTTATGGGCAATGACTTTTATTCGAGAAGGTTTCGGGTCGGGGAGTGTTGCTAGAAGCATAGGGCTTCTCGCCACCTTTTCGTGGATATAAAGTTCGTCGGAAGCGGACTTAGAATAAAGGAGTTATGACACTTTGAAGATAGTGTCAACAATGGTCCCTAAAGGAAATATCTGGCAAAGGGGTCCAAGGCATGCATGGAGTGCATGCGTGTAATTGGCTGGGTATGCCCAGCGTAAGATAGGTTACGCCCAGCGTAGAGTGGATAAATGAACGCGGGTGTTGGGGGCGTACGCCCAGCGTACAGGATGTACGCCCAACGTACGTCCAGAGTCTTTAAACCCTAATTTGAGGGCGAGCCACTATATATAGAACATAATGGCCTCAACCCTAGCCCCCATATCAGCCTCCCTAACCTCAGAAGAAACCCTAGAACGTTCCAACCTCCATTTTTAGAGATCTTGGCCTTGGAAAGCTCATCTTGGTGGTTTAAGCTTGGAAGAGGAAAAGAGGAAGTTGTCAAGGAAGGAGTTGGGTGGCTGGAGCTCGTGGATCTGGGAAGGCATCATCTTCTGGAGCCCTTTTGAGGTATAAAGTCTCTTGCTTGTCATCTATTTTGTGTAGATCTTGGTGTTATGAAGTTTTGACATCATTTCTTGCCCTAAAACCCCAAAGTGATGCATGATGTGAGTTGGTTGAGATTAGCTGTCCTTTCAAACCTTAGGAGAGGTCTTGAGTGAGAAAAATGAGGTCCCAAGGGCTTTGGTTGTCTCATGTATGATGTAGGTGGGTCTTAATGGATTAATACCTTGAGTTAAGAGCTTTATGGACGTCCCAAGTGATAAAGTTTGAGACTTTATGGATCCTAGGCATGTTTGGTCGATGGATCTGAAGTTTGGGCTCAAGAGCTTAAGCCATTAAGAACTTATGAGGACTTTTAGTTCAGCGAGTTTACGCCCCGCTTAAAGTGATGTACGCCCAGCGTACTCACCATTCTGCCTGTACGCTTAGCGTACATGGGGGGTACGCCCCGCGTACTCTGTCTGTATGGATCGTGAGTTTTTGGGCCGTGGTTTGGGGCATGTTTGGGTATTTGGGCCTTAGTGGGCCATCAAAAATCGTATTATATGGACCAAGGAATATATTTTGGGCTTAGGGTGAGGCCCATTAAGGGATTGGGCTCAATGTAGCAAATTGGGCCATTAGTGGGTCACTAGTGGGCTTGAGAAGCTTACCTAGTGTTGGGCCTTAGTCATGGACCAGATTGGGTTAAGGGTAAAATGGTCAATTTACCCTTAGAAGGATATTGTTTTGGGCTAAGTGTTTTTGTGGCATTGATAGTTCGGGGAGCTAGAGGAGCAGCAGTGCGGGGATTGTCAGATAGCATCCAGAAGGGTACCAGCAGTATTTCGGCAGTCGCAAGGTGAGTTATCCTCACTATATCGACAGGGTCTACGGCACCAAGGCCGACCCTTTAACGGATGGAAATCTGGGTATTGATTGTTATGTGATTGTTTTGCTAGATCTGCATCCTGGTATTTAGGATGGTGTTATGTTAGTGACCTGGTTAAGGTCGGTACCCGGGATATAGGGTAATGTTATGCTAGTGACCGGTTAGGTCGGAATCCTGGTTAGGATGTTGATATGCTATGTGATCTGTTAGACTGTTGTCTGGTCGAGGATTGTTATGTGATTATTTGTTTTATGTGCACATGGTTATTTGACGGGGGTTGGGTTGAGGCGGGTCCTGCTTAGTGTTGTAGGCCAACATACCCAGGGCGGACCGGACATTCCGAAGGCCCAGCGAGCGGTCCGGATAGGCTGAAGGCCCCGAGAGGGCGGACCAGACGTGCCGAGGCTCGGAGAGTGGACCAGGCCGACTGAAGGCCCGGTGTGGGCAGACCAGTCATACTGTAGACTCAGAGAGTGAACCAGGTGGATTGAAGGCCCGGTGCGGGCGGACCAATCACACTATAGACTCGATGTACATGGCTAGACTCGGATGGTGGACCAGGTGGACTGAAGTCCCGGTGCGGGCGGACCAGTCACACAGCAGACCCGATATGCGTGGCTGTTCCATTTGTGATATGATATGAGTATGTTATGTGTGGTTGGTATTTTGGGGGTAACTCACTAAGCTTTCGGGCTTACAGTTGTAGTGTTATGTTTCAGGTACTTCAGGAGATCGTGGCAAGGCGAAGGCGTGATCATACCGCTCCTCATGTTTTACGATTTTTATGATATGGTTCTGGGGATACTCTGATAATAAACTATTTTGAAAACGAGATGTATGAAGTTAATGGTTTTTGAATGAATGAAAATGTTTTAATTTGACTCAATTTTTATGGGTGTTACATATATATATATATATATATATATATATATATATATATATATATATGTGTGTGTGTGTGTGTGTGTGTGTGTGTGTATAGGTACAACGAAATATTTATAATAAACTATAATAGGTATAGTTTATGGGTCATTAACACTGTTATAACATTTTGGGACAAGTCGAATAATAATATAAAAGTATATAATTATTATACACTATATTAATACTATGAAAAATGGATATTTACACTTACAATGGTTTTCATTACACAAAACGTAAACTTGTTGAAACAATTATGTGAGACAAAGTCTTCACCGTACCTACCAAAGTACACACTAAAGTCCTGAATTATAACCAGAATCTCGGTAAGAGAGCGTGGCACTTGTGTATAGATCTATACAGGACTGACAATCCCGCACCTAAGCTGCTAGCTACAGCTAGACCGACAGGTCTGGGGTGACAAATGTCTAACATTCCGACGCCTGAAGAACGTCGCAACAGGCCAACTTCGGTTTTAGCATGGTTGTAATAACTCACATGTGAAATCAACGATACATTTAGTTTACGGGGTAACATTCGTTCAAATGGTTTTATATAAGAATAAAACTACGTGATACTAGTTTACGTATAGGAATACTTATACATTTTTGATCTTAGGGTTTTTAAGACTACAACTCATTTTTAAGGAAATATTGGATTTTCTAGAAACAAACATTATCATTTTACAAGGACAGAATTACAAATTTTTCCCATACAAAACTCTTATGAACTCTCCAACTTAATTATTGACAGTTTTCAAAACTACTTGTATTCTTAGGAAACCGTTAAACATGTATTCACAAGGCTTTTGAGGATGGGACGTCACGACGTCGTACTATTCATTTTGTCATCATAATGTAATTGGTTTTGAAACATACAATACTTGGAAACAATGTAACATTTTCAATTATATTTATGATGGTTGTGTTTGCTTTGATCACTATTGTACATTATGTTGTGATACTGTTCATGAAGTTATCCACCCCCAGACGTTTCTGCCATCCTGGTTTGGGGGTGTGACAATTAATTAGAAGTAAAGAAAAATATGTTTTAAGTAGCTTATATTGTATCAATATATGATTTCTAATTTAAACACGTGTATCTAATTAGGCTTTCCATCTTAACATACTACTGTGAACATTTGATTGAGGTGAAAAGTATCGTGAAGAGTACTAGCTAGAGAGAGTGGGTTGGTGGGAAGTACTTGGAGAAATATTAGAGAATGCACGGAAGCAATAGATATTGATATGTGGTTATATCTTTGATTTGAGGGATTATATCCCTCTTATTTTCTTAAACATCTTGAAAAATCTGTTTTGTAAACTCTGAAAAAATGAGACTTTTTTTGCACTTATTTAATAAAAGCTTTATTTGTAACGTTAAGTACATTGTAGTTCCAAACACCTTATTGGCAGGCTACCTACAAATCAAATAATAATAATAATAATAATAATAATATACTCTATTTATAACATATCTACTATATATACAAGATTGCATGGGGTAAGACATGCCCTAATACCATATAGCCAATTGTCGACAATATGACACACACACACATAGATGCACAATTTGAATAAGAAATAATGCTATGCGTATGTTTGCGGCGAGCTTTTGAAAAATTTTAACTTTAACTTTTAAGGAAAGGAAGAAGAAACTCGAATTAAAGAAAAAATTGCGTTCGACAGTACGAGTTTTTAGCTTTTATTTTTAACGAAAAACTCACATTTTAGCTTGTTGATTTTATGTAATTTTAAATATTTAAAAAAAACGTATAACTAGTTTTGTGAAGACTGTTACACAAATAAAAGTTACAACTTCCATCTACAAACTAGTTTTCTAAATAGCTTATTTATCACCATTATTAAAAATATGAAATAATTTGAAAATGTATCCACCTTATCCTAATAGGCATGACTTCCCAAGAAAAATGAGAGAGGATTAGAGAGGTCATTAGCTAGCATGTTTGATCAAGTTAATACTTAGCTAGAGTAATGTAAAAGCGGATGAAATCTTTTGATTGTGTTGTTACTTATATAGAGATCATTTTGGAAAAACAATGTGCCGGTGATGCACATGTGACTGAATACTTCAATAAAAATACAATGAAGTGCCATGGTTTTTATATATGTATGGTGGAACCCAACTTATTGCCATCTCTTTACAACCTCATATTAAGTGTTGGTATATTAGACATTTAAAATTTTTGTTCTCCATCTACATGGAAATGAAATAATATCTATATAACCTACTCAATATACAAAAATCACATCGGGGGATGTAAATACGTTCTAAGAAGCAACATAACTAAAGTTAATATCCACAAACTCGTCCTTCTATTCAAGTATGAAGGAAAAGAGTTTTTCATGAGCGAATATACTCTTTTTGAATCATTGCAAATATTTATGCGTTCAACGGGCATAAATGCATAATCCTCTTGTATTCCTAGTATTCATCTTTTGTCCAATCTTTCCTTGTTTCCAGTGTGTCTATTGACGTGATTTTCAACTTCTTAATATGTCAACCGCTAGCTTTTCCATATATGATTGGTCAAAATGCTCGTAGGTTTTCTTGTAAACATATCATTGGTTGTGTCCCCCATCGATTTGTTATCTAAAAACTCATCCGTCATCTCAGTTTCTCCTTGATCTGACCCCCACCCCATCATATCCGATATTGTCGTAGGTGTTCCGTTCGGAGTTTTGTTCCCCTGAGTTTGTTCTGATGGTGATGATTTGGTGTTGTTTTCCGATGAATTTTGTGCCAAATCATCTGCATAAAGTACATCCTCAATACGGTTCATCACCGTGTTCGCCAAACTCTCTAATACCCGTGAATAGCTCTCCAGAACCGCAAGGCCGACATCCTATTAAAAAAAAACCGTAAATTTATGGTGTAGTTGTTGTCAGCAGTCGAACAGACATAAAGATATATGTTCGACTGTTGACAAATCTTTAGTCATTGAACAAGAAGAGAATGAAATATGTGCTTTTTTCGTGTTCATACTCTATTCGACTCGATTTTGCAGATGTCTAGTGACGATTGAGGAAGTCCCGGGAACCGTTGTTTGATGAGGATTAAAATTGTTTCGGCTCTCTCTTCGAAAAGTTCCCTCCTTTCCATTTTTGCAGATGCACCCCATGAAGATCTTGACTCTTTTTGATGCATTTTTCTCTTCCATATGACTACCGAAGCTTCCATTTTGTTCTTTAGATCAAGTATTTTATGCTCTGATGACAAGTCCACAGATGCTAGGAATTGCCCTGGGTCGAAGAACTCGACTGTAAGGCTCTTATAAGTAACATCACCAAGGCTATCTCGGGCATTCTGTAACATTGTCAATACATTAATTAATATATTGTTTCATTTATCATGTCAACACTCAATCAAGATAACATTAGGGGTTTAATTGTTTATGAAAAAATGGACAAAAGAATTACTTATTTCGTAACCTTATTCAATTCGTTTTTGTTAAGACTAAAACCAAGTAGGGAATAGAAAGGAAGAGTACCATGTGTACATACACGGTGTACAACCCATGAAGCTAACCACTGAAACATTGAAGCTAACGTCTGCAAGAATGGAAATCGATCATAGATGCTTTCGGTCTGTTTAAAAAATGTAGGCAGTTCAGCTTTCCAGGGTTGTACACGTTGCATATTTAGTTGTATCCTTCATGTATTATGGGTTATACCTTAGGGAGAGTTTCGATGTAATTCTCAGGAATCTCCATTTCTCCAAGAACTTCAGCATTTATAGCCATGGAAGCTTTCAGAACTTGATTCGCGCAGTCTTTCTGCTTCTGCATCCATTTTCTTGATTCTTCCGACAACCCTCCCGGAGGAACCTTCACCGTTGGTAGCCACCATTTATCGTTTCTTTGCACTCCTTTTTCTGATTCATTCGCATCTTTAGATACATACCAGAATTCTTTCTGATCCTTGAAATTGTCTAAACAATCCTGAAACATATAAACAACTTCAATACGTTTACTAAAACGGGTGAAATGAGTAAATATGGAGATTTCAGGAGTTTGGTATCATTACAGTGAGCATCTTGTCGAGCTTTTTTAGTGCGGGAATGTTCATGAGAAGATCTTTTCTTTGTTTCGTCACCATAATCTGCATATCTGAATCGTATATTAAGAAACTTAGCTACAAAAACACACACTAAAACATACACACACATTATTAGGACCTCCATATTTGATCCATCTCTTGCTGTGTGTTGAACGGGAACAAACTCGACGATATGATCGGTGATCGATAGTAGCCAATCTACTTCTTTTCTCCACCTCTTTTTTGAATCTTCTTTCATTGGTCCTAGTTTATGTTGTTCCCCGAACACCGAAGCTACAGATTTCCCACAAAAAGATAAAAGAAAAGTGATTACGTTTTAACGAATTAACTTGTAAACTAGTCGGATTCATTACCAGCAAGATTTGTAATGGCATTCGTTAGAGCCAAAGCTGATGAAACACCCTTTCCTCCACCTGACATATCCTCTCCTAAAAGCAGCTTAGAAAACTTTTCTCTCATCTGTTCTAGATCTATAGAAAGAACGAATTTGTTTAGAAATAATCAGCGAGGGAAACATGAATTTGTTAAAAGCTTACCCGTTTTCGGCTTTTCCTTAGCGGTTTCTGGTTTTGTACTGTTTTCTAAATCTGATGTGCTTTCGGTCGGTTTAACATCTGCAGATTGTTCGACAACCATCGTTTCTTTCTCAGGGACTTCCGATGTTTGCTCTTCTTCCGCCATTTTCTTACAAGTTCTGCCTTTTCTTTGGATTTTACCGGAGATGAATCAAGGGATTACGCATGGTTTGAATCTATACAAGCCTATAAAAACAATAAAAACCCACTTTTCTTAAAGATATTAGTGGGAAATTTCTGAAACAAAATTTTGGGAAAAAAGAATGCATTCTTGATTGGTTGAATGGCAAGAATATGGTATTTTGATCGTTTTTTGTGTTTGTTTCGTCCCATTTTTTTGTTTGTGGTCTTTCTAATTTTAGAAACCTCATGGAGCTCTTTAATTTGTGGGGTGCATGTTTTTATGAAACATGAGTTTGTGTTTCTTGAATGGATGGTTTGTCTATGTGTCATTAATTGTTTGGCTACCCTACCCGATATTTAGGAACACAAAATTAAGGTGTTTCAGAATTGTTTTGTGAAGGGTACAACAACCCAGTTGTAATTTTGGTTTCTAATTAAGGTTTTTTTAGAAAGGCATAAATGGGTTAAAACTAGCAATTAGAGCTAGATCAAAATTACAAAGTTATAGAAGCAAAGGAAGGGTCATGCAACCATTCAATCCAACTAGAGTTGTACTTTTTACTTCTATTACCAATAATAATAATAAATAAATAAATAAAGAAAATCGAAACTATCATAAAAAATCCTTGATATTTTGGGTTTCGTTATTACAAAAATCAAATTGTTACGAAATTTCCACAAGACCCAAATCGTTGTGATTATAACCGCATCAAAATATTTCCTTTGTCCACTATTGAGCTTCAGACGATTCGCCCAAATGATCAAAGAGCACAAAGTCGAGACACGAGGACACACAATACCCCCGCCATGTTGTAATGAGCTTCCAAATGTCCACAACTCCGAGCAAAAAAAAAAAAAAAAAAAAAAAAGTGGCTAACGGTTTCCATAGCCAAACCACAAAATAGGGCACATAATGTATTTTAGATCAATACCTTTGTTCGAAAGGTTATCATGGGTGGGAATCATATTCAATAAAACTCCTCAATGTAAGATGTTCAGTTTCATGGGAACTAAAGTGTTTCATCTAATAGCCAACTTACTAGTAGCCAAAGTACCACTATTGATGAAAGCTCTAGTCGAAAGACCGTGAACGCCCCACTAAATTGTTTTAAATTTTAATTTGGTTTAAAGAATATTCAAATATAATTAATTAAACATTTAAATTTAATATTCCAATTAAATAATATTTCAAATTAATCATCATATTTAAATATCCAGATTTATCCGGTTAAAATAATATTTTAAAAATGAGGTTTATCCCCAGATTTTTGAAATCAGTAAAAATCCGAAAAAGTAAAAACCCGATAAGCGTTTTGTGTCAAACAGAGGGCGTGTTGTGCCTGCGGTTGATAGGTTTCTTTCCGATTTTCGTTTTTCACAAAGTTTTGTATCATAATTAAAACAATTAGGCTCTGATACCATTATTGGAGATTATTAACATCAAGTATACATTACATAGGTAGCAGAAAAATCAAAAGTTGATATACCTAAGTGCACATGCAACCTAGAATCTATGTTTTACCATTATAGCATCACACTTTGAAAAACTTAATGGAAAGAATTATTAACCTCTTGTTCATTTCCTTATGATCCCGTACGTGCCAACTTAGTTGCAAGATGAAGGATCCAAAGGAGAATCCCTCTAATGTAATCAATCAGACCCACGCACCAAATTGCAAAAAGGAAGATCCCACAAATTAGGGTTTATTCAAAAACTCAAGAACCTTATGAGAGGGGATGAGAATTTGGTTATGGAGAGGAAGAGACAGAGGTTGGGCGAATTTGGAGAGAGGAATAATTGGCTACATGCTTTACCCTAATAGTCAATTTATAGGTAGCTATTAGAATCCCAGATGGATACAAACTATAAGGTTTATCCTTATTTTGATTCAAACCAACTCTACCCCTATCCTTAGGGCATCAAAACCATCCACCATATGTCTTCTAGGAGATTCTAGAATATTTCAATTAATCTTTATAATTAATTAATATTCAACCTCTTTTAATTAATTAAATCATTTTAATTAATTTACCAAAATAGTTTCTAATTAATTTGTTAATTCCTTAATAAATTAACACATTATTAAACTCCATTTTTTATGTAATTTGGTTTATGAGGTAACCCAAAAGGACTCTGCTATTATTATAAATATTACCAAAACAGTTAATGACATTGGATACTATTTCCAACATCTTATTCTCCTCTAATTGCTTATTCTTATACTAAATCGATGATCTGCAACTCACGCTCACACATTTTGAAGACACATAAGATATTTGATGATACAAACCCTTATGGATGTGGGCATCCTTTTTTAATTTGGACATCAACTACGAAGACTAATCTTAGCAAAAAGTCTGGGTTTTTCTCAACCGAATGGTTTCAAAGACACATAAGGTATTTGATGATACAAACCCTTGTGGATGTGGGCATCCTTCTCGAATTTAGACATCAACTACGAAGACTAATCATAGCAAAAAGTTTGGGGTTTGTCCTTACCGAATGATAATTTTAACCGAAAGTTTTATCACGTCATTCTCATATATATTTGTTTTACCATAATGAAAAGTAAAATCCTAATTTTAAAATATACAGAAGGTGGATTTTTTAAGATGAAATATTTTTATTAATTCTTCATAAATCCTATGATATTTTTGTGATTATCCATCTAAGTAGAGGTAGACTCATTCCTACACCCATTGACTTCTTGTTGAGAGCATTCGCCCATGAAAACACTTTCCCCAATTTTGCATATATCAAAATTCCTAGGGTTTACAATTTCTAATTTGTAGCTTTCAGCGTTGAACTTTCCGCCCCTTTTATACTACCAACAAATTTCTTGAATTCTTCACATGCACCCTGCTATAGTTTCAATATAAAATTCAATATGTAAGCTGGTATATTACTTGAACACAATCTCTCTTTTAATGAATTTCAATTTCAAGAGAAAGTCTTAGAGAGAGAAAGTAGAGAGAGACAGAGAGAGAAAGTAATGGGCGATGAAAAATCTCCGAGTAGCAGAGATCGAGAGCTGCTTATACCTGTCGCCAATACAGCTGACGATGACGACGACGCGTCTTCAAAACCCTCACCTTCTTCCAATTCGTCGTCTCATCACGCCGGCCGTGAGGTCTCTTTCTTTCTATAGCTCGTAGCTCGCTGTACTTTGAAATATCTATATGATACTATGTTCGATTTGATTGCTTAGTTGGGCTTTGGATTATGAAGTTAACTGCGCCCTGTTAGGGTTTTAGGTGAATTCCCTTTATTATCTGAACTTCTTATAGGATCGTAATGGGTTTTTGTTCATTGTGCTTTCTAAGTTTCTATTACATCATTTAGTTTTTAGTTTTTCTCTGTGGATACAAGATTGGATGTGATTAGGGGTATAGCTCTGGGTTTTAACTTTTACGGGAGTGAATTGAATGCTTGATTCATTCGTTGGGTATCATTGATGGATTCCATTGAATAACTTGACTGTGATTCTATGAGTCTCGTATGTAGCAAGAGGGAGTTAGGTGGGAAGTGGTTAAGACTTAAGAATTGTGAAGAGGGACGTTGGTAGTTTGGTTTTAATTTCTTTTACCTCATCCACTATAAATCTATGATGATGAATTGGATATTTGGATTGATTATAACTTTGACAACTAGGGACATTCTTGTAATTTTTGTCTTCTATAAGAATACACTTTTAGACACTTGGGATCTGTTTGGTTGGAATGATGTAGATAATGGAATCACAACTCACAAGGGAATGGAATGAGCAAGGTGATGGATTGAATCATTGCATTCCATTATCATATGAGTTTACTCTCTGATTTTCTTCTTATAATTTCATCAGTCTTATTTCTTTTAATGAATCCCACCTAACTCCAATTACCCTATTCTAATGAGATTTTTCATGTCATCATTTTCATGTAGACTTTCATCAAAGTTGTCAGAAGTTGGGCTTCTAAAAAGTTCATGACCGGATGGTATGCACATTACCTTCAATACCCAAAATACCCTTACGTTCACTAAAAACAAAAATCATCTTTTAATGCCATTTCGGATTTAGTTTTAATGTTTAAAGATTTCATTTTTTTGCAGTGTGATCCTATTACCAATAGCTATAACTTTCTACATAACATGGTGGTTTATACATTTTGTGGATGGATTTTTCTCTCCAATTTATGTGCAACTCGGCATAGATATATTTGGTGAGCACATTTTTAATCACTACTAAAAGTAATTAAGTGACTAAACCAATAAACTTTAATGAGTTTGAATTTTATTTAGGTGTTGGATTTATAACATCCATCATGTTCATATTTTTGGTTGGAGTGTTCATGTCATCATGGTTGGGTGCATCTGTTTTAAGCCTTGGAGAATGGTTCATCAAACGAATGCCTTTTGTTCGTCATATCTACAATGCATCCAAACAAATTAGTGCTGCAATTTCTCCAGGTTATTAATTTCTTTTATATATAATATAATATATAATATATAGTTGCTAAAGATTATTATTTGTTGTTGATAATATGTCAGATCAAAACACACAAGCATTTAAAGAAGTGGCAATCATTAGGCATCCCCGTATTGGTGAATATGCATTTGGTTTCATTACTTCATCTGTCACTCTCCAGGTTTATAAATTTCCATTCTTTTCTTCATTTGATATGTCATTAGTAAAATATAACAAAATTAATTATTGCTTTTTTTTTTATAGAATTATTCAGGGGAAGAAGAGCTATATTCGGTATATGTTCCAACAAATCATCTTTACATTGGTGATATCTTTTTGGTCAATTCAAAGGATGTTATCAGACCCAACTTATCTGTTCGTGAAGGAATCGGTAAGTCATCACTTTGTATTAAATGACTAAATTAACCTTCCATTATGAGTCTAAAATTGATGAATATTGTGGATTTGTTTGGAATGTAAGGGTAACATGGTCATTTAGTTTCTTTCAGACGGTTTATTCAGTCTATTAAGTAAAAAAGGAAAAAGATTGAACAATTTTTGTGGTTTTTTATTGCAGAAATTGTGGTGTCTGGGGGCATGTCAATGCCACAAATATTATCGACACTGGATTCAAGTGTTAATGTGGAGAGACCTAGAAACAACAGAGGCTAAACATAAACAGACATTGATTCATATTATGTGATAGTGGTTAGGACTTATAATTCTTGTTGTTTGTTATTATATACATATATGTAGCTTCAAATGGAGAACTAAAAAGCCAAAGATTATGTAGATAAAAGCTAGATTTTCTTCAATATTGTAAGTTTTAGTTTGATATTTGATGAGTTTTGATTCATATTTTTGAAGATTTATATCGGGTAATAATTAATAATATTGAGTCTAAAAAAGAGGCTAAGAAATGGGGGACTTGATCAAATCTTTAGGTGATATTTAAATATTCAACTTGTCAAATGATCACCTAAACCTTCTTAAGCAATTATGTGGTGTTGAACACTTACAGCTTTGGATTTGATTCAAAAAGCCAAGACTAATGGGGGGATTAAGTTGATCTTTTTAAATAGATATCAGCCTTGTAATATAGACATTCGGCTACAAGAAAGAAGCACAAATTTCAAAGTCATCGTACCTGTGCCAAAATGCAATGGTGGATTCGGTTTTAACACAAGATGAGATAAAAGTTGTGGTTGTGATTGTGGTCGTGTACTAGATGGTTTCACATATTTTGGGAGTTACTTAAGGATGGAATAATCAGCATCGTCTGTTATTTTTAGGGTACTAGTAGTGTACGGAATGTTCATAGTTCTTCATCACTTGATTCTGAAGGTTTCTAATCCAATTATTGTTTATGATTTCATGCATATTAGTCTTATTAGAGTGCAATATAAGTTTATTGTAAGATGATAAGCTAATAGGTTGGCTCAGGTTGTGGGAAGTGTTGTCAATGTTAAAAAGTCTGTCTTTGTCTTCGTTAAAGGTCATTAAATTCTTGACAGACCTCTTATTGTTAATGAAGTAGTAGATTTGTATAAGACGAATATGAGAAAACTTATGGTTTGCAAAGTCGATTTAGAAAAGGCTTATGATTCGTTGAGTTAGAGTTACCTAGAGAAGATCATGGCTTTTATGGGTTTTAGTCATTCATAGATGCATTGGGTAACAACAGGTTTCAGCTCGTCTCAAGCTTCTAAACGGAAGCCCAACTTCGGAATTTCTGCTATAAAGAGGCCGAAACAAAGTGGTCCTCTTTCTAGTAGATTTTTGAGACTTTATGTTCTTCAAAAAGAAAAAAAAAAATATGTTTACTTATTGATCGGTGGTTTAACCAACAGTTGAAATGGAAGGGGGGGGGGGGGGCTTCCACAACGAAAGGACGTGTGTCTTCAATAATGTCTTCAATAATAATGGCTTTATACGTCATTGCTTACGTTATTCCTCCCGCCACCGAAAGGACATATATTTTTGAATAATGTTTGCTTTTGTCATGGCTGACGTTAATCGACGTTTCTTCCATATCTAAGTAGGGATGTTTTGGTTGTTGCTTTATGATGACTTCCATTCTCTTGTCAATGTGTCTGCTATATGATTGTTGGCGCTTTTGATATACTTGAGGTATGGGTGAAATTGATGTAATTGTAATTGCCAACGAATCAATCGTCCACGGCAATAATCTTCTTGTAACCCTCAATAGTCTAGGGGCTATATTGTAAATATGTTTGTCGTCTTGCAATCATACGATTGAACACGCGTCCTTTCGTTGTGGAATGATATATTTTATAATTTGTATATTATCTTATTTGTTGGTATTTGTCGTTATCGGTAGAACACATGATATGTAACCTAGCGATACATGACATGTGTTCTACCGATAACGACAAATACCAACAAATAAGATAATATACAAATTATAAAATACATCCTTCCACAACGAAAGGACGCGTGTCTTCAATAATGTCTTCAATAATAATGGTTTTATACGTCATTGCTTACGTTATTCCTCCCGCCACCGAAAGGACATATATTTTTGAATAATGTTTGCTTTTGTCATGGCTGACGTTAATCGACGTTTCTTCCATATCTGAGTAGGGATGTTTTGGTTGTTGCTTTATGATGGCTTCCATTCTCTTGTCAATTGTCGTTATCGGTAGAACACATGTCATGTATCGCTAGGTTACATATCATGTGTCATTAGGTATCTAGAATATGACATAAGTATGTAACCCTCAATAGTCTAGGGGGCTAATTGTAAATATGTTTGTCGTCTTCCAATCATACGATTGCAATTCAATTATGTAACCGGCTCTCTTGAGCCTATAAATAGGGTCTTTGCTCGTATGGAATAAACAAGAGTTTTTTGAGTGTCTAAGACTTGAGTTGAATCTCAAAGTTCTTCCTCTGTTGAAATAGTTTGTCTATTTCTGAATAGCAGAGCCCTTTGTTGAAATAGTTCGTCTATTTCTGAATAGCAGAGTCCTATCCAACCCATTCATAAAATCAAACCAATCCATCATCAATTAAGAACATCATCAAGCGATCATCCCGACGCATCATTCAAGTATAATCCTATCCTAATTTTTATTAATCTCGTTATACATAAAATTTTGATGATGATGCATGATTATCATATATTCATAAAGTTGTGTCCAAAATGATAATTTCCACCTAACCACGGGGATCATTCTTGCAATTTTGTCTTAAAGTAATGTTGCTATTTTTGTCTCTTTGGTCTCTATCAGTTATGTACGCACAAATATGTTGTATTTAATTAATTATCTTTTTTATTTACGTTTTTAAATATGTTAAACCTTATATTATTATATATCCTTTAATTTATTTTATAATATAAAATTACTTAAAATATAAACTAAAGAATTTTTAGTATATAAATTTCTATAATAAGTAATTTAGTTAATCTAGCCAAAAACACTAATTACCTATTCAAAAATAGCCAAAAAAATACACATTAGCCAAAACTAGCCCACGAAATAGTAGATTGGCCAGGGTTAACTACGGTCAACGCACGTTGACTACGGTCAACGTAAGAAAACTACTCTTTCATTGCAATGGGCTACTCTTTCGTGGCATGTCTACTCTTTTGTGGCCCATTGTATATAATGTATTATTTTTCAGTTTAGGTTAATTTTGGCTCATTTTTCCTTCCATTTTTTATTATTTTCTCTCAATTGAGCATCTGAAGAACAACAAGGTACGTCCCTTTTTTTATCAAAATTTTACTGTATTGTTGATTAGGAGTGATTTTTATACATGAGGATAACTTTAAAAAAAACGAAAAAAAAATATTAAAACCGTAGGCTTCATAGGAAACCTACGTTGTACAAGTGCACAATGCACAAACCTACGGTGTACAAGTGCACAATGCACAGATTGTGCAGTGTGGACTTGTACAACGTAGGTTTCATATGAAGCCTACGGTTTTATTTATTTTTTTCGTTTTTTTTTAATTTGTTGTAACCTCGTAAACCATCATATATATTTATGATTTCATGATTTTTTTTTCAAAAAACATAAAAAAAATAATAATAATAACGAAACCGTAGGTTTTTTGGAAACCTACGGTGTACAACCAATTAATGCACAATTTGTGCATTAAAATGTTGTACACTGTAGGTTTCCTTAAACCTACGGTTTTTTTAATTTTTTTTTCGGGTTTTTTATTTTAAAAAAAGGTTATAACCAATAAACCTTGTATATATTGTTGATTCGTTGATTTGTTTTTGAAAAAAAAAATGAAACCGTAGGTTACCTTAAACCTACGGTTTTTAATTTTTTTTTTCGTTTTTTTCAAAAAAAAAATTTGTTTTACGAAATCTTAACGATTGTATATATGTTATGATTTCATGTTTTCATTTTGTGATAAAGTATGTTATTTTCTATGTTTCGATTATAGCATACTATAGCTATGTACTATCCATTTGAACAATTTTCTATGTTTATAATTGATAGATACTTTGAAGTATAATGTATTGCTAAAATAATCTTGTATTTTGTTAGTTTCGACTTTGTTATAAAATATGTTATTGTCACACCATTTTCAAAGTACAATGCTATATTTGGTATATTATTAGTATAGAAAATACAAAAAATGTTGTCAATTAATTTCCTTTGGTTTTTTTATACAAAGTAAACAGAATATATGAAATATTAAGCCTTATATGCTTTATCTACTTGTTTATCACTGTTTTTCTTTTATAAAACTTTATTTAACCTTAATGTTTATTTAATTTTGTAGTTTCCGAACAAAAGGATGATGGGTAACATATCTGTCAAAGCTTCATGTCATAAGTTACATGAAGTTTTGAGTGGCTTAAACGGACCAGTGCGAGAGATTTTTTCAACAACTAGCTTCGGTTACTTGTTGGACCTACCAGCTCAATCCGGGGACGGACTTCTTATTCATGGGTTGTTACTGCATATGTTGCGCCCTACTGCTGAAACGGACGCGGCTGAGCGTCTACATTTTATACATTTTCATTTGGTCCCGAGGAGTTCTGTCTTGTGTCCGTGATGTTGATAAGTCAGACTGACTTTTGATTCTTCGGGGAGACCCATCTTGCACTTCACCAAATAAACAAATCCAGTGAACGTGGTGGTTTCGTAAAATTCAACACATAAATAAAACATTCTCGGATTGTATCCCGGTGGCCAAACATATGATAATTGGGAATTAACAAACTCTCATCTTCCATCCGTAATAAGCAATACGAAATACTCATTACAACTCATTATGTTAATTTTGAGAAAAAAAAAAGCTAGAGAAGAAAACTTCCCAAATATGAAATAATTCCATAAATGTGGAATACTTATTCTATATAATGGGTTCAAAACAGTAGTCCACTCTGACAAAAAAGTAGTCAAGTTTAACAAAAAAAAAAGTCAAATTTAACAAAAATTAGTCAAATTTACCCAAATAGTAGTCAAATTTATCAAAAATTTAGTCAAAAAATTCAAAAAAGGAATCTACATTTTAGCAAAAAATTATTTTATCAAAATAATTGTTAAAAAACTATATTATATATTACAAAAAATATTTTTCAACAAAATAATTGGCAAAAAACTACTCTGTATTTTACAAACAATATTTTTAATCAAAATAATTTTTAAAAAACTACTCTCTATTAAGAAATTAAGAAAAAAAAAACGTAGATTTATCCCAAAACCGTAGGCTACAGTTTGGGAAACCGTATTTTATAAAGAGAAAACCGTAGGTTTTTAAAAAACCTACGGTTTTATATCTTCAAAATGAAAAAAAATATATACTAAACACGAAACAGTGGACGATTTAGCGAAACAGTAGCCGAATCTAAATATCTACGGTTTCGTGGCCTATTTTGGGACAATTCTTAATTTTTGGCTAAAAATGGTTAATTACTTCCTTAATTTGGGTAGATTAGTAATTACCCCTAAATAATATATTGATATACAAAACAACATATAATTTTTATATTTAATTAAGGGGCTTTCACAATTTGAAGAATGGATTGCAAAATTTATTTGAAAGACTTTATTTCAATGCTTAGGTGCGATCCGTGTCCTCCCTTTTAGAGGATTTTAGAGGAGGTTGAGGTTTCAGTCTCATTTGAGACATAGCCACATGGATGGTACTAAGGTGTAGATTACGAGTAGATTAGTTTGTTGTTCAAAAAAAATATTTAATCGAATGGTTAAGGATTAACTACAAAGATATTTTTTATATTCATTTAAAGGGCTTTCACAATTTGAAGAGTAGCTTTCAAAATTTATTTAAAATGATATTAAAACCGAATGTTTTGGTGCGATATGTAGCTTATATGTTTAGCCAGATGGTAGGGGTTGACTACAAAGGAAATTTCCACGTGCGGTACGACATGAGAAATTTCTTCATGGTAATATCAATGAAAGAAACTCAAGGGGTCAACTAGTGGGGATTTTGGTTTATCCAATAGAGGATCGCATGGTCGACATTGTGGGTCCGTGTATGGTTTAGAGCATTCGTCAAAGCACAGGTATATGAGGTTGCACACAGTCTGATAAGCATGATATGGATGTTAAATGTTTGGTAGAGATCAAGAAGTTGTGTGAACTTATAGATGTTCATTTTGGTTACCCGAACAATTTTGGTTGGATATAGGTTTACTATCCATTGTTTTCGTTTTCGAGTTCAAGTTTGGTAAAGATGTTTGACTTTTCAATTGTGATCCGTTGGGCTTAGTTTGTAAGCCAAAATGTAGATTGTAGGTAAAAACTAGGTTAAACCTCCAAGTCTACGCGACAACTGTGATAATAAGGGTTAACTTTAGGGGCCTTTTCTTTAAATAGGGAAGAAAGTCTCAAGTTTTGAATGTATGTAAAAGGGAAATCTCCAGAAAAGTCCTAAAATTTTACCTTAATTTACGAAAAAGTCTCAAACTAAATTTTGTTTACGAAAAAGCATGAATTACCGGTAAAAATGGCGATTTGACCCGTTTTTTCCGGTTTACCGGTTTTATTACTTACCTGTTTCAGTAAAGTCCCATTATTTTACCCTAATTTGCGAATAAGTCCCAAAATAAAATTTACTGATGATTTGGCCCTTTTCTCTATGTAACATACATTTTACCGGTTTCATTGCTGACCTGGACGCCTAGTCATTAAATGAGATGATGAGATGGATATGTTGAGTTATATAATGCTATGTTTAGCATAAAACTTGATATATTGATGTTTTGTATATCTTTTTGGAACATAAAATGCATCCAACGAAGACTACAATAATTACATAAACTAACAACAACTGCGTCATTTTTCACGTTTATAAGAAATATCAAATTGTCTATCTAATCTTATGTAACCCAATATATCCATCTCATCAGACATCAACTCATTTTCTGCCTTTTTTTCTTGGAAACACATATTTTATTGGTTTCATTGCTGACGTAGATACATAGTCATAAATGATCCGATGAGATAGGTATCAAATTTTACAGTAAATGTGACATTATATAATCCATTGTATTCATCTTATCAGCTAATTTAATGACTAGGTGTCGAAGTCTGCAATGAAACCGATAAAATGTATGTTTACATGAAGAAAATTGTCAAATCATCAGTAAATTTTATTTTGGGACTTATTCGCAAATTATGATAAAATAATGAGACTTTAGTGAAACATGTAAGTAATAAAACCGATAAACCGGAAAAAATAGGTCAAATCGCCATTTTTACCGGTAATTCATGCTTTTTCGTAAACAAATTTTAGTTTGAGATTTTTTCATAAATTAGGGTAAAATTTTTGAACTTTTTTGGAGATCCCCTGTATGTAAAATGTCCATCTAAGAATTAAGAGATCTCATTTGGCCATATTGTTAATTCTTCTTGAGAATTTCATCAGGATCATTGTTTGCTTCCGTTATTGGCGCAATACAAAATCAAATTTGATCAATTTATTTTGATCTAATTTGAAAATTTTTAAACAAGGGATAATGTGCCGAAAAATAGAACTAAACGTTGGAAATTCTTAAATTCTTTATAGTTGTAAACGAGGGTTTCGAAATTCAAATTGGTAAAAAGTCCAAAAGTCCATAACTATTTTTAGGAGTTGTGGTGGCCCTTTGGACCTGCCAACTCATTTCCTTGTCCTTTTTTTTCGAATTCAAATAGTTATTATATATAGTGCAATAACAAAAATTATTATAAAACTATATTAATCTTTAATACAAACAATTTATAAAGTTATAGACACTTTATAATGATATCGACAATTTCTAAGGCTATATTTAATAAGTCATAACTAGTTATTTTTGAAGTTATTTTTTTTTTTTTATTTTTTTTTTTAAGATGGTATATTTTTGACAAGCCAAGAAAGCAGTTGTAAGCTAGTTTTCTATATTTTCCGGTTAGTAGTTAGTGTACCGATTAGTGTTTACCAAAATCTTATTTTTTATTAATTAACTTATAAATACCAATCAATTTTAACAACTTTTCAACTAGTACTGAGGAATGCTTTGAATTCCTAATTTCCTAAACCCGAATTTAACTCGTTTTCAAATAAAAAACTTTATATACTTTACTTTAGTTATCTTTCTTGGGCCTGGGCCCATTAATAGAACTCAGCCGAAATTTCACTTCCTAGTACTGACACATGTTTTGTTTAAGGTTCCAAGATCCCGATGGAACCAACACACACGCATCCGTCACCTTCGACATTTTGTGCCCACATGAAACGGTCTCTTTCCATTTCCGCCATCATCGCTTCTTAAAATCTCCTAAACACCTTCAAATCTGTGTGGGTTTTCTCGTTTCTCCATCTAATCGAATCGAATCCGATGAAGATTTCTCCCTCAATTTCTGTTCGCCATTGAATCCGGCCACCACACACACAAGAAAATGAGCACCGAAAAGTTGGAAAGCGATGTAACAAGTCTCGGCGGCAGCAGCACGTCGTCATCAACGTCGCCGAAACGAGATCGATCTCCGACGACGTCGTATAATTACTACGTTCAAAGTCCATCTCGCGATTCGCATGATGATGTTGATAACAAATCCTCAACCAACAGTCAAACAACTCCGACTCACAGCTCTCCGAATGACTCGCCGTCGCATCCTTCACACTCACGACCGTCTTCCTCCAGCGCCAGTAGAGTTTCCGGCCCCTATCGAGCTTTTGCGGTGACCGGAAAACACCGCGTCCATTCGTCTTTTAGGAAGAGGAAAGGGTGGCCGCCGTTGTTCAGTGTGATTGACGAGGAAAATGAAGATTATGAGGACGATGATTACTTCCGAGATAAAGAATTCATGCGACAATGTCGGATTATGATGGTATTGATGGGATTGGTGATGAGTTTTACGGCGATCTGTTTCATCACATGGGGTGCGAGTAGGCCTTACAAACTTCAAGTTCATATGAAGGTAATTTTATCGTGTTATATATATATATATATATATATATATATATATATATATATTATATATATATATATATATATATATATATATATATATATATATACTCAGAACTCAAAATACTTGAGTTTATTACTCATATTTTTAAAATATATAATCACAAATTTTATAATGATGTCATGATGTGTGTGCTAGCAATGTCATTTTACTTTCACATTTTCTTTCTAACATATCCACTAAAAATAGTTTATCTTAGATTTATTCTTGTAATCTAATAAATCTATGTTAATATTATACTTTCACATGTTCTTACAAATATATATTGGAAATAATTATTTTTAATTATTTACGATGTTATTATACTTTTATTAGAATGTCGAGTTATATCATACTTATTCAATTTTGATCAAATTAACTAATTAATTAATTAATTAATTAATTTTGTACAAGATGATTATGTAATAACAATTTTTCATAGAGAATTTCAATAGTTTTTTTAATAGACGAAAATATTATAATTGACATGATTGCAAATTCACAAAACATTTGATTTATTGGTGTTTTTGCCCAAGCGTGTTGTTAAAAACAATAAAATGTATAACGGTGTTTTTATCTTTCAAATAATAGCAAATAGCAAATAGACATACCTGACAATTTTGAATATTGTGATAACAATATTTGGTTGCAGCTATATAGTAGGTGATGTTATTTTTCGTGAAATTAGTCTATCATGAATCATTTATATAACATGAGTTTTTGCCTTTATGACATGAATCATCAACATTATGGTTTTGTAGAGTTGGAAGGTGAACAATTTCTATTATGGAGAAGGAACGGATTACACCGGAGTTCCAACCAAGTTCTTGACTGTAAATTGCACGGTGAAGATGAACATAGAAAACCCTGCCACCTTTTTTGGCATCCATGTCTCTTCAAGTTCTTTAAATCTCTTCTATTCACAAATCGTGGTAGGAAGTGGTCAGGTAATTAGCTCTTCACGCCCTTGATTTTCTTCATGGGATTTTAACTTTGAAACCTTTCAATTTACAATGTTGTATTATGTTTGTTATCATTAGTTTGTGAACTATTATCAACCGAAGAAAAGCCAAAGGACAATGTCAGTGAATGTTGAAGGTCGTAAGGTTCCTCTCTATGGAGCTGGTATACGTTTAGCTACGTCAAACAACAACAATAGTGTCCCATTGAAGTTAGAGTTTGAGATTCGGTCTCATGCCAACTTGGTGGGGTGGTTGGTAAAGACAAAACATCGGCGTCAAGTCTTTTGCATCATGGAAATTGACTCTGAGAACAATAAAGTTATAGACTTTAAGAGGGAATCATGTTCGTATACGTGAAATGAAAATCAAGATCAAAAGTTGCTTTCATGTTTTTTCTTATTTTATAGACATCACTAGCAAATGAGTAATTCTAGTTACATTTGTTTCCTATTTGGTAGATTTTGGGTGTGATAAACCACAATCGTTTCTCTTGGATCTTGCATCATTTGTAAAGGATTAATTTCACTTTATATATCTAAAATGTGTTACTTTAGTTTATTTTATTTATTTATGATGAGTTACATATGTAAAACTACAAATTTTGGAAAAAATAAACAAGTCAGGTAACTTAGAAGTTGCCTAAAACATACTCAAAGTTTTACTACTCCTAAATTTTTTTGTACAAGAAATGATATTTTACATGATATTAATTTCATAAAACATACAACATTAGCTTGGTTCTCAAGAAACTAATACATCCCACGACATAAACAAGATAATTGACTAATTGAGTAGACATTGATTATAGTGCAACCCAATGCAAGAGTCATATATTGAAAGGTTGCACTTTGTGCCTTAACAGAACTACAAGTGTACCAAAACTATATAGAACTAGCCAATATAAGAATATGGTATTGGCAATTAGGTTAGGTGGTGAGTAAGTAAGGAAATTACTTTAGATGTTAAGGCATCAAAGAAATAGAAGTATGTTGTCTAAATAGGAAATGTGCGAAGTATATCATTATGAAAGAAGCGCATGCTTTGTAATGCATTTTATGATAATATGCATTCTAATATCATAGGTATGTGTATCAGAAATACTAAAGATTAGTAGAAATACCAGGTAATGAAAGTACACTGCCTACATAGAATATCATAATAAGTATGATGCCTAAATGAGAATCAATTGAAGTATGAGATGAACATATATGTGTGTATTTGGTAGTGCATTTATTAGTAAATATGTAGGGTCTCATATATGATAAACATTATCTTAGGGATGTGAATACAACCAAATTTAAGTTTAAAAAACACCTTCAAACAACAAAGTTGAAAAAACAATGTCTCTTATTGTTTGTCCATATTAAATGAGGGTTTTGTTAAGATTTATGGAGTCTTGAACAAATTGACAAGTTCCTAAGAGTTCAAGGGCCATAAATGAAACTTGGAAATTAAAACAATTGAATATTGAATTGGACGCACTATCAATTGTTTAATAATATTGTTGGACGGTGGCTATCAATTAAACAATTGTTTAATATTTCTTTGACTATGCATACTTTCGGTAATGAACGGCCGCAATATTATATTCACAATATGTGAATTGAAGAAAAGTTTACGGCACATCTCAATATATATATGTGCAATGTAACTCTTTGTATGTGTGCATCAAATATAACTTGTGGAGTTATAAATTGTAATCTTATTGAGTTAATAAGAAAATTTAGTTGCAGCCCGTGGACGTAGGATTTACACCGAATCCGAATCACGTAAAATCCTTGTGTTCTTTATTGCTTTATTTTCTCGTTTCGTTTGTGTGTATGTGATAGTGTTTCCGCTGCGTGTACCCTGTCTCAATTCCTTACAATTGGTATCAGAGCCTGGTTAGCGAGGTTTTGGAGGGTACGATCATTTTTTTTTATCACGCACGAGTGTACCTGATTTGTATCTTGTTTGTCGTAATGGCTGAAGACAAGATTATAATCGAAAGGTTCAATGGTTCTGATTTTAGTTGGTGGAAAATGCATTAGAAGCATTGCTATGTCAGAAAGACTTGGACATGGTACTCGGAGACAAACTGGAGAAAATGGAAAAAGCTGCTGAAGATGCGTGGAACTCAAAGGACAAGAAAGCCAAGGCGGTTATTACATTGTCGTTGACGAAGAGCGTTGCTTTCAACATCATGAATGAAACCACGGCGCGTGGTATGATGGAGGCTCTGTCAAATATGTATGAGAAACCATCGGCGGCTAACAAGGTGTTCTTGATGAAGGAGTTGTTCACTACAAGGATGAATGAGGAAGGCTCAGTTACGGTTCACATTAACAATCTAAATTCAATTCTGTCCAGATTATCATCTGTGGGAATTAAATTTGATAATGAGACTCAAGCTTCGCTGCTACTAGCTTCTCTACCTGATAGCTGGTCCGGAACAGTTGCTGCTATTACAAGTTTCGTGGGGACCAGTGGTATGACTTTTGAAGGGGTTAGAGATTTGGTTCTAGGCGAGGATATCAGACGCAAGAATCAAGGTGGATCTTCCTCTTCTGATTTATTAAATGTCGGAAGAGGTAGAGGGAATAGCAGGAATAGTGGGAGCAGTGGGAGTCGGGGAAAAAGTTCTTCTAGAACTTTGAAGAATGTGAAATGTTGGAACTGTCAAGAAGTGGGACATGTTAAGAGTCAATCTCCAAAGAAAGAATTGAACATTGCTGGTGCTGAGAGTGTGTCTGAGGATGATGCATTGATACTCAGTATGGAAAGTTCTGTAGACTCTTGGGTCATGGATTCAGGGGCTTCGTTTCACGCCATGGACAACGGGGAAACGATGGTGAATCTAAAAGAAGGAGATTTTGGAAAGGTACGGTTAGCAAATGACGAGATGCTTCAAGTAACGGGCATGGGAGATATTGATTTGGTTACTTCATTGGGAACTACATGGAGCCTAAAGGATGTCAGGGTGATTCCGGAGCTGAAGAAGAAATTGATTTCTGTTGGTCAGCTGGATAAACAAGGACTGGAAGTAAGGTTTGGAAGTGGTAAATGGAAGGTGGTCAATGGTGATCTGGTGATTGCTCGTGGTATGAAGCGTGGGTCATTGTATATGGTTGAGGTACCTGCTGAGGGAAGTATGACCATCCCGATTAAGCAAAACAAAATCTGGTTCGCTAAATCTACTGCTAAGAGAGTTCATTTTGCAAACATGAATTCTGGAGCCAAGGGGATGTTAGCTGAACAAGTCGGAAATTCTAAACCATTCAGGGGATTCTATGACAGTGGGAGCACGGGGTGTGTCCCGGGTACAGTTACAAAGAGCCGTTGGGTTTTGAAGACTAAGACTGGAAAATTCTCTCTTGTTGGAAGTTTGCAAAGTTTGGAGAGTGTTAGTGGTCCTCGGTGTATCTCTGGATCTGGTGGAGTGTCCAAACCGGTTGAGACAGAGGATGAGTCGGTGGTGGGATTAGCCACGACTGAGTTGGAGCTAGTGGGAGCTTCAACTGGCCCTTCTAGTACTTGAAGATGAGGGGCGGCTGCAATTAGAGAAATCAGACTAAGTTTTAGCTTGTTCTTTGAAACTGGAAGCTTGAAGGACTTGGTTGTTTTTTAAGATTACTGGAGTAATTGAGAGTTGAATGGCGGAGAAAGAATAATTTGTTCAAGTCTCCAAGTGGGAGATTGTTAAGATTTATGGAGTCTTAAACAAATTGACAAGTTCCTAAGAGTTCAAGGGCCATAAATGAAACTTGGAAATTAAAACAATTGAATATTGAATTGGACGCACTATCAATTGTTTAATAATATTGTTGGACGGTGGCTATCAATTAAACAATTGTTTAATATTTCTTTGACTATGCATACTTTCGGTAATGAACGGCCGCAATATTATATTCACAATATGTGAATTGAAGAAAAGTTTACGGCACATCTCAATATATATATGTGCAATGTAACTCTTTGTATGTGTGCATCAAATATAACTTGTAGAGTTACAAATTGTAATCTTATTGAGTTAATAAGAAAATCTAGTTGCAGCCCGTGGACGTAGGATTTACACCGAGTCCGAACCACGTAAAATCCTTGTGTTCTTTATTGCTTTATTTTCTCGTTTCGTTTGTGTGTGTGTGATAGTGTTTCCGCTGCGTGTACCATGTCTCAATTCCTTACAGGTTTAATCTTCGTGACACCCCAAGTGACATTATCTGTCTAAGTGAAACGAAACTTACCAATGTGGTGGGGGATTGATGGAAATTTAAGTGGTTAGATTACCTTTGTCCCACATATGTGGGAAGAAGAATCTTTTGTGGGTTTATAAGGCTTTTCTAGCCTTACGCCTTTAAAGATTTTAATAGAGGTTTAGGGTTGGGCCAAGCCCACATGCGTGCCTAGCCGAGTCATAGATGCAAGACATGAGGTTCGCGAAATACCACACGTTTTAGGCGCATTTCGCACGTCGTATCAGTCATTGGGAGCTGAGAAGATTTTGATTTTTGCAGGGTTTAGGTCGGTGTTTGACCGTGCAGATGCACCAGGGAAGCTTTGTGTTTATCGGTTCTTCCATTGTTGTTGAAACGAGAGATAACTTCATTAAATCCTAGTATTCCACATTGAGACTTACAATCATCGGTGTGCATAAAACCCTTTAAGGACATGAGTCATTTTCGTGTAGGTAGGTGGTCTAGGTGGGGAGGTAGGTGGTATGGGTATATGTGTGGGTGGGTGGAGTGGGTAGGTAGGTGGTCTGGGTAGTGAAGGGCTAGGTGTATACGTAGGCATAGGGGTGAGTATATGTAGGTACGTTGGGTACACATGGAGGCACGAGTGTGGGTGTGTGGGTGGAAGTATGTGTAGGGGTGGGTGAGTTGGTGGTATGGATATAGGTGTGGGTAGGTGAGGTTTAAGAGAGATGATGATAATCATTTGATGAATCATAGCTAAAATAAAGATGGGGTGGTAGGGCATTTTTGTCTTTTTAATAAGACAAAAAAATATATATAAAATCTTTACCCTTAACTAAAGAATGACAAATTCCTTCAAGCGTGGAATTTAACGAAATTTAAAGAATTCTAATTCCTTTGATTTTGTCGACCAAACCAATTTTTATACAAATGTACATTCTAATTCCTTCAAATTCCTTCGAAGTCTGTGATGACAAAATGGTCTTAATTTTTTGTTTTGTGTAATAATTAAAAGTATTTTGGCAATGTTATTTTGGTTTAAGCTTCTTTCCCAAGTATATTTGTATCTTTTGGTTTAAAAACTATTTAGGAGGTGTGATTTTGAGTTTTTAGATAATCTCCATTATTCAAAGAGTAAACATCGGGTATACTTACAATGTTTTCGTGGTCTAGCAATTGTATTTTGACATGTTTTCCAATCCTAACACTTTTACTTTGACATGTGTTAAGATTAGAGGATCCTTTCTTTTAATCAACAGATGGTTTTTCTCCAACTGTGATTTCCTACTTGTTGAATAGTACAATATAATCTCTTTATATCTTTCTTAAAAGACATAGACTTCTTCTCCCTTTCATAAACTTTCTATGCATGAAAAGAGGTAAGAGATGCATTTTCCTCAACTTGTTAAAAAAATGATACTCCTTGTAGTCTCATTGAAGTAATTGTGTTCAGAAGCTAATATATTTCATAATATAACAATTCTTAAGTCTTTGACATCATTTGTGGCATGTAATATGAGGTAAAGGAAGTCTTTGATGCTCTCATATGCTCTCATATGTTCCATATATAAGAATAGATCAGCCTGAAAAGGATGGATCCACATATGTTTTATAGAACAATATCAATTATCTCGCTATTTTTTCTCCACTCATATTTACTATATTTGTTACTATAAAGTTCACTTGACAAAAAAAATGTAACACAGACACTAAAAGTTTTACTCAGATTGAAGGAAAATGATATTAACATTTAACAAATAGTCGAATTTGTAGCAAATAAACATGATGAAGAAGCTGTTGAGAATCAAAAGTCACCATGAAATGCCTATTGAGATGCTAAAGAAGTGGAAGAATCTTGTTGAGGTGGTTGTAAACTAGTAGTGCTGATGATGTTTTCCGGCTTGTCAGTGGCACAGCCGCCAGGTAGGATTGTGCCGCCTATCCTCGCTGGCGGCCAATACCGCAATACTGATCTCCCAATTATGTTTTTTGAAGGTAGGGGTCCCCTAATGAAATAAAAACACAAAAGAAAATAATAATAAGAATTTTGAGGATCATTATTCATTACCCAAAAAAAAAAGTTAAATTGGTAGAAATCAACAGATTGTTGAGGTGGTTCTAATTTCTAAACTAGTGCTGATGATACTTAAGCTACAAATATTACTTGTTTATACAATGAACAAGTTTTAAATAAATTATATAAGTTTCTATAAAATGATAAAAATGAGAAAACTTACCACACATGTGAATCATAGCTGTTATTACGATTGTCACCCATCACAAAAACATAATTCTCTGGTACACGCTGCAATACAATATAAATAAATGAAGCAGATTTAGCATGATTTCAAGATTAGGGTTTCATCATAAAAGATTTTTACAATTTACATACAATTTGATTCATTTCATATTTGGGTGCTTCAAGAGTGAAGTCTTCATTTCTGGGTACCCCGTTTACTATTAGCTTCCCATTGTGTACCTGTGATGCAAAAGTTTGCAAATGTTGTTGGGTTATAGCAATGTACTTTTTGATTTGTTTATTATAACATACTACTTTCAATTTTAACCAATTACACAATCGTATTGTTAAAAAAGAAAATCTAATAGAATATCTAAAATGCCCCTTACAAGGACAATATTAAGAAAACTTGTAGACCAAATTCAAAGTTGCTAATACCAATTAGTGATTTCTAACTTGGTTAATGGACTTATAAAATCATTAACAAAACCACTATATGTTTCGAAATTAATTCTTTTGGGTAATTGAGGATAATGGTTTTCATAAGTCTTGGAGAATTAGATTGTTTTAGTAAACCATTTTCAAACTCCAATGACCAAATTAATAAAAGTGAAAGTGTGTTGCTACTTCTTGTATTGAAAAGGTGCTAATTTTGCATCAAAGTACAAGTGCATATATGAAAGCATATGATATAACTTTGTGGGGATAAATCAAGAAACTCACCTCAACCAAATCTCCTGCCTTTGCAACAACTCGTTTAATGAACACATCATTATCCGTATATCCAACCTCTTGAAGGACTGGAGGGCTTTTAAAGATGACAATATCATTTGGGCATGGCTTTCTAAAATAGTAACTAACCTGAAATCATTTAAAAAATCAAGAAATTTTCAAATGAGGAATCAAATAGAAAGATTAATCGTCTAAACATGAAACCCGGTTATCAAATTGAACAAAAACAATAGCTTGAAACATAAATTAAGCAAAAAATTTACCTTTTCAGCGACGATTCTATCTCCTACATCAAATGTGGGATACATAGATAATGAAGGAATGAATCTGGGCTCAGCTATAAACGATCGAAACGCAATAGAAACTGCAAGCGCGGCGAAAACCGTTTTAGCATCATCGGAAGTGAAGTCCACCCAATCTGGTAAAAACCCACCTTTCTTCTCTTCATTCTCATCTCCTCCGTCTCCTCCGCCGTCTCCACCACCACCGCCACCTCCACCGTCTAAATCCAAACCCACCTTCAATTCCTTAGCCGGGTCTTTAATTCCATGGCAAGTTAGCTTGCGAAAGTGAGTTCTATGGTTTGGAGGGTTACTAAAGCCTAGAAATTTGGGGGGTTTTATGATGGGTTTATAACAGGTATTGTTGAAAGCTAGCGTGTGTGATGAACTGGTGGAATTGAAAGTGAATTTCGGGTAGTGGAGGGAAGATAACGGAGGGAGGATATGCGAAGACACCATTTCTATCTTCGAAATCCTTGTAGAAATTAGTTGTACAGTTTTATTAGGTTACAGAAGGAATTCAATTTCACAGCAAATGAATACGAATCAAATGTAGATAATCTCATAAAAATAAGTAGTTTTCAAGCGACTTTTAATTTTTATAGGGTTATAATCATAAAATCCATAAGTTTTACACCTTTATCTAAATTACTCCTACATTGATTTTTGTTACCATAATACCAATATTTATGTGTTGACTTTTGTATTAGAATCTGGTAACCGGTTTCACCGGTATTGCCGGCTACACGAAGAAGGATTAAAGGGTGTTTTTGGGTTCTTTGATGTTGGAATTCAAAATCATCAAGAAAAGGGTTTCTATCATTAGATTAAAAAAAAAAAAAAAAAACACTTTAAAGTCTTCTTCTTCATGTGGGTTCTTCAACAACATCCGGTACCAAGGCATTTGTGCGAATAATAGGACTTCAGAGTTGTCACATCCCAAGACATGTCACAACCCTCGATGTTATCGTATGTAGATTAGGAATGATGGATTTTCGACAGCATTGATACTAATCTGAATCGGTACACGATTAAATTTGTCCCGATTCATACTGGGGGACTTAATGAGATATGATAAGGACCGTCTAACTTTCTGAATTGATTAGCATGTCAAAACTACCTTATCTGATCAAAACTTGGTTCCCCGGATTTTTGTAAATAGGTATTACAGCTTATTCCAGGTTGTAATAAAAGTACGCTTACCTCCTCATAGAGAAACTGGCGAGTGATGTTGAAACTGTTAGTCTTATAATACATCCAACCCTAAACATTAAATGTGATGGGACTAGACCTCATACGAAGGACGAAAGGCAACGAGTCCCAAGACAAAGGAAGTACAGAGGATGCTCGATAAAGAAACCCGAAAGTGAGAGAAAAGGTACGTCGAAAAATATCCCTTAACCCTACACATGAGAATGTATGAGAAAACTGCAAGATAAAGTTTGTATAGTTTGGCAAGAGGTGTTGTCGAAACCTTCGGTGATATGTTTATCTGAGGAAACCTTCGTCAAATGGTATGCAACCACTATATGTGGCACATGAAGAAAGACATGGTTTTTCGGGTATGCTTGGAAGCATTGATCTCACACACCGGAAGTGGAGAAATTGTCTCGTGATATGGAAATGTCAGTATGCAAGTGGTCATCATGGAGCGTCTTCATTGGTATTAGAGGTTGTTGCTTCCCAGGATTTATGGATTTGACATGCTTTTTTTCGGGGTTGCGGGTTCTAACAACCACATCAATGTCCTTGCCAGGACCGGATGCTCATTTCACAGTGAATAAAAATGAATATAAGTTTGGGTATTATCTTACAGATGGAATATATTCAACATATTCCACATTCGTGAAGGCGTTTCGACACCCATTAGAACCAAGAGACAAAATTTTCAAGAGAATACAAGAAGGAACACGTAAGGATGTGGAACATGCTTTTGGAGTTCTAAAGACGAAATGACACATAGTTGAACACACGACACGACCATATTAATTAGAAAGTCTACGAAATATTATGTATGAATTGTCATAATGCATAACATGGTAATTGAAGATAAAGGACGAAATATTGCGGAGTATTCGGCTACGGAACCTAGACACGCATAATTTCAACCAGGTACAACATGATACTTGCATAGAGTCGTTGATATTCAAGACACATGAAAACACAAGCAATTTCGAAAGACTTGACAGATTATATGTACGATGGTAACCAAGATGAATAATTTAGAAAAAAAAAAGTATTTTTTTTGTTTTTAAATGTTATTTGTTTTTTGTTGTAATGTTTTTTTTAGAAATTTAAATGTTACGTTTAATTAAAAAAATCAGGTTTATTTAAATAACATGTTTTATTAAATTAATTTTGTTTTTATAAGTATTAAAAAAATAAATCAAAGAAGAAAAGAAAAAATAAATGATGACATGGAAATTAATGGATGTTATAATATGTTGCTCATTTCCGTTATAACACCATAGATGACATGAGATGTGACGTGACACTTTTTTGGTGTGATAACATGCATTAACATGTTGTACACACCTAGTAGCCTTAGAGTTATTGGTGTGGACAGCATCCACTCTCGTTTTTGTGACCTGGCACCGAAAAACGTCGTTACCACCACCCAAACACCACCCCGCCCTCCCATTTTGTGTGTTATGTTATTTCCTGTGATGATGGTAATGAAAGGCAACAACACATTTTGAGAGCAAGGTCTTCTTTCTTTGGTTGATCATGATAACATATTCATGGACAAACATCATCCCTACAATGGTGTTGAGGGCATCATCTTTTCTTCTTTCTGATGTGGCACCGTTATCACCGTTGTCCATACTGAACAGCCTTAGCAATAATTGTGTTTTCTCTTCCACTTTTTTCTACTAAAAAAACTAACAAATACATTTCTTTTCTCTTTTATTTACACTTTCGTCCACTTTTCTTCTTAAAAACAAGGGAAAACTGCAATAAAGTCCCTACATATTGGCCTCATAATCGATTTAGTCCCTATATATTTTTTTTATTCAATTAAGTCCCAAATATCGGTAATCGTATTCAATTTAACCCTTTGACCCGGTCAACAGGTCATCCAACTTTCAAAAATTACATTTTTGGCCCAGATTTCAAAATTTATTACAAATTTGATCCAAAATTTACAGTTTTGGCCCAGATTTTAAATTTTGTTACAAATTTGGTCCAAACTTTACCATTTTTGCCCAAATTTTAGAATTTTATTATGAATTCATCCTAACTTTAGTTTTTTTTACAACTTTTTTTCTCAAAAAATTGTTTCTAATATGTTTTTTCTTTATAAAATCATATTTATACAAAAAAAAACGTATTTTCACATAAAAATATTATATTTTCTATATAAAAAAAATTTTAAAGACTTTTTTGTATATGAAATATCTAGTTATAAAAATATGTATTTATTAAGTATATAAATATATAAAAATCTGTTTTTATAAAAAAATGTATACAAAAACGTATTTTACAAAAAAAAAATGTAAACAAACACCTATCACCTTTATATATATATATATATATATATATATATATATATATATATATATATATATATATATATATATAGGTGTGTATCTATATTTTTTTTTATATAATACGTGTTTGTATACATTTTATAAAATCGTGTTTGTATACATTTTATAAAAACGTGTTTGAATAATTTTTTATATAATACGTGTTTGTATATATTTTATAAAATCGTGTTTGTATACATTTTATAAAATGTATACAAACACGAATTATATAAAAAATTATTCAAACACGTTTTTATAAAAAAATGTAAATAAACAAGATTTTATTAATAAAAATATAGATAAAATAGGTGTTTGTATACATTTTTTTTGTAAAATGCGTTTTTGTATACACTTTTTTATAAAAATGGATTTGTATATATTTATATACTTAATAAATACCTATTTTTATAACTAGATATTTCATATACATAAACTTTTTAAAAAACGTTTTTATATAGAAAATATAAGATTTTTATGTCAAAATACGTTTTTTTTTTTGTATAAATACGATTTTATAAAGAAAAAACATATTAGAAACAAATCTTTGAGAAAAAAAGTTGTAAAAAAACTAAAATTAGGATGAATTCATATTAAAATTCTAAAATTTGGGCAAAAAAGGTAAAGTTTGGACCAAATTTGTAACAAAATTTAAAATCTGGGTCAAAAGTGTAAATTTTGAACCAAATTTGTAATAAATTTTGAAATCTTGGCAAAAAGTATAATTTTTGAAAGTTGGATGACCTGTTCACCGGATGAAAGGGTTAAATTGAATACGATTACCGGTATTTGGGACTTAATTGAATAAAAAAATATATAGGAACTAAATCTATGAAGCCAATATATAGGGACTTTATTATAGTTTTCCCTAAAAACAACTAAAAAACAATGTAATATGAATAAAATCTTTAAAATAAATTCGAGAAAAGGTGTAAAATTTAATCTATTTCGTAATTCTTTTGTGCGCGTCACTAAAAATGTAGAATTAGGATTTAGGTGAGATTCAAAGGCGGTGGTGGCAAGTAGCCTGGCGCTACTATCTCCGGCTGGTTCTACACAAAAACCCTTAGATACCGACAAGATATGGCGGCGATTTGCACCTTCGTGCATCCTTTTTCACCTTCTATGATTTCGAAACCACCTTCTCCACCATCACTAGTTGTAGTGACCTCCAGATTGTCTTCATCGTCGTTCACATCTCCTTCATCTTCATATTCGTCATTGGTTACGACGTTTCCAAGACGCTCTCTTGGTCGGAGGATGAAGGCAGGATCGACTGCAATGATTGTTTGTATGGCCCCCGACGAAGAGAAATTGACTCGCCGTAACCCTCTCGATTTTCCTGTCGTAAGTCTCTACTTTTCTTCTCTGTTCGTAATTTATGTAGAAATTTTCAATCGGGTCTCTAGGGTTCTAACTAACTGATGCTATGTTCTACCTAATATATGTGGTAAGCAAGCTCTTCAGTTGATTAATTTGTTGATTAGTAAACCTAATTGTTTTGCTAATTATAGAGCAAATCATCGAATTCTGTCCTATCTATTATGATATTGGGGAATTTTGCATCTGTAAACCTTATCAACTCAAGCTCTGATTAGTAAGTCTTCAATTTAGGCTTTGTATAGGCCATGTTTTTACCAATTATATGCAACACTTCCTTGCAAGATAACTACTTTAAGTCTTTAGCCTCTTCTAATTGACTTGTAAACCGAGTGTCAGATCAACATTAGACTAGAGTGGTATTCATACATTTTTCATGACTTCATCATCTAGAGTTGAAATCAGGTTTTAGGGTTTTTTTAGTACATAGTCAACTCATTTCTCACAAAGTCCAGATCTTGACATGGTTGGAGGGTGTTTAGACTTTAGAGACTGTCATGTGAATTTCTTTACAGTGTTATTTATTGTGTCAAAAGTGGAAATGATTGAGGAATTTGTGGTATGTGGTAGGAATGGGAGAGACCTAAACCAGGTAGAAGGCCGGATATATTTCCTCAATTCAGTCCGATGAAAACACCATTACCACCCCCATCACCATATGACCCTCCACCAGAAGAGGAAGAAGAAGAAGATGAAGATAACAAAGAAGAGGAAGAGGATCCCGATAAACAAGAACCAGAAAACCCCTAGTCCCTCATTTTGTTAAACATTTAGGGAGAATTTTGATGATGATATTAAGGACTTATAAATGAAGTTAGAGTATTTAATGAGAGCTATAGTTGAGTGAGACTTCTTTCTGTATTTTTTTTATCTCTGATACCGGATGATAAAGTGCTGAATGGTTAAACGATAAATGTTATATGTTGTATTGGATATAGTGTCGAATGGATAAATGAGACGAAAATGTGTTATTTTAAAGTGTCTTATGCAAAGATTCAATATGAAGTACATGTATTTTACAATGAATAATGAATCTCTGTTTATTTGTTATTTTTATATAAGGATAAATTTTAGGGAAAATGACTTCAAAAGGTAATGAAGTTTCAAAAATGTATAAAAAAGACCATTGTTTTTTTAGTATACAAAATACCATTAAAGTATATTTTTTATACACAAAATATCAATGAAATATACATGTGTTCAAATAAAACCTTTGTGGGTAACCGGTTACCGTAGGTAAAAAAATATAAAAATACCATTGAAATTTCCAAAATGTTCAAAAAAAAAAAAAACAAATTTGTTTTTTCAGAGCACTTTTTGTTAACTTCGTTGTTTCCGGATTATATAGAACACAATCATTAGAGATCACTCACCGTCGTACCAGTTAGCTGTGTACTATCTTTCATTACATCACTCGATCAGTTTGTATCTAAATCCATATTTAAGAATTCTCATGACATAACGTCACACTCGTTTCTCCTTTGTGTCTCTCTTGTGCCGCAACACTAATGAACGGCTAACATTGATGTATAATGTGTGCATCTATATAATGTATATATGTTTTAGGCAAGGTTGCAGAAATCGTTCGACGGTAGCTCGGCGGTGGACTGGGGTCAAGGGATTAATCGGCTAGGCGGAGATTAATCGGGGACCATTAATAATTAAAAAATTAATAAATAAAACATTAATCCTAAGAATATAACATTATATCTATTTAAAAGTTACTAAAAATTAATAAATATAACATTATAACATGATACTATGATTACAAAAAACCTTTTGATCCCTAATACATCAGATCTAAATAACCAACAATTGCATTTGGATCCAAGTCTGCATAAAATGGGGAGAAAAAAGTGTTATGAACAATGGGTTCCAATAGCATCGGGAAGAGATGTGGACCTGCAACATGTTGTCTACTGCATTTGGAACTTTGTGAATGTTGAGGGAATTCAATAGCAGGAGGCTGTGGATATGTGGGAATTCCATTATCGATTATTTCATCCTGATTATTGCTATATAATACACAGGAGGCGGCGACTGTTGTAGAAGCTTTAGAAGGCGAAGACTGGTTTAGCTTTGAGGATGACGACTGACGGACTGCGACGACGTGAATGGAAGAAAAAGACGGTGTCGGAGGAGGGAAAGATGGCATCGAAGAAGAAGATGGCGTCGTTTTAGAAGCTTCAGTTCATGCTTTCTTTCGTTCCTTCAGACTACAGAGAGAATTTCAAAAAAGAAATGAAATGAATGTGATGGAGTGAGAAGAACCCTAGCAGCAATTCTAACAATTTGACACTTTTGCCCTAAAACTTTTTTTTTTTACCGATTAGGGAGCCTAGGCCCGCCTAGACCCGATAATCTCCGTCTTTGACCACGTCCGATAATAGGGTCTGATTAGCTATAAACGTCGACGGTGGAGGACCGCCAAGCGCCTAGGCGCCGATTAATCGGCCGCCTAGGCCGATATTTGCAACACTGGTTTTAGGTTTGAGGCATATAATGTAATCGGGAAGCAAGAATGTTTAACTAATGTTATTACCCACTTACTTCTCTTGTTACCACAAGAACGATTGAGTGAAGGAATGAAAGAGATTTGCACAATTGTTGTGAACTGATATGACAGTTCATGATCTCCGATGATTGTGTTCTACATAATCCGACAACAACACAGTTAACAAAAAGTGTGGTATTTTTTAAACATTTTGAAAACTTCGTTACACTTTTAAGTCATTTTCCATTTACCTGAAGTACCTGGCTGCCACAATGTTTTAGTTGAACACATGTGTACTTCGTTGGTATACTGTGTACAAATAGTAACATTAATGATATTTTTTTGTACTAAAAAAACAACAATGATATTTTTTGAACATTAAGAAACCGGGTAACCTACAATAGCCAGTAAAATGGTATTTTGTGTACAAAAAAAAAACAATGGTCTTTTTTGTACATTTTTTTAAAACTTCGTTACCTTTTTAAGTCATTTTTCCTAAATTTTATAGGTGTATGAAGTAAGTGTATTCGTATTATTGAAAAATTTGACGATAAATAAATCTCTAAAACAACTAAAATTTGATATAATTTTCTATTGTGATAATTTTAATTTGCTAAAACAAATCATAACAAATAAAAGTGGTCCATACATTTTATTTTTGTCAATCCTCACTTATTGACATTGAAATATCATTGTTAAGCCATAAAAATAATTAAAATATAATGGTTTTTATGTATTTTGTTTCTTAGTAAAATAATATACTCCGATTTTTTATTAAAGAATCATAAAAATGCTAAAAATAGGATATAAATTCAAATAACCATATTTTCAGTTTTTTCCATTGCAAATTTCTTAATGCTAAATATTTTTAACAAAATTTCTATTTTCCTAAAATTGGTTCCTCTGTTGGAGACAACTTTTAGACATTTTTTCTTGTTTTTATACCAAAAGTAAAATTTGAAATATTCCTCAAAGTAACGTTTCACTTTGTATTACGATTTTTTTTTCTTTTGAATATACCTGCTGCAGAACGGATAAGTGGGTAACACAACTAAATTCTAAATAAAATACGTTAATTAAATTTTGTAAAATTATACTTACTCTATTTTCGTGAATATAATAATTTATTGCATTAAATATAATAATTTGTATGGCAAATCATTATGTGAGAAGTACAAGAAGTTTTTCTATGTTTATTTTTTAAATCAAAAAAGGGAAAATGAGTTATATGGGTAACTATCTTTCAAAATCGTTCAAAAAATATCATTCAAGTTTGGTGTGTCCAAAAAACACCATCCAAGTAAAACATTTGTATAAAAAAACACCAACGAAGTACATTCTTTGTTCAAATTTGACATTTGGTAACCGGCAATTACCGGTAAAAAATAAGTAAAGGAAAAAAAACAATAGGAAATGACTCAAAGAGGTAACTATGTTTCAAAATCGTTCAAAAAACACCATCCAAGTTTGGTATATTCAAAAAACATCATCCAAGTAAACTTTTTGTACAAAAAACACCAACAAACTATATGTTTTGTTCAAATATTACCCACCGGTAATTGGTTCTTACAGGTTAAATGATAACTTGGCTTAACTATTATGACATGACATAATAATGATTGACAAAACAATAAATGATATATTCCTCCTTTAAAAACCGATTTAGGGTTTCTTCATGAACGAATGACTTCTTCTTCTCCTATGAAGCCTCTGCGATCTGGATTTTATGCAAGTACGCCCGGCGTACTCCTATGTACGCCCATCGTACTCGGCTAGGCTCAAGAACCGCCAATCTTCCGAAGGCCATAACCCTCGGTATGTGTCACACCCCGGCCGTCGGCGGAAACACCGGGCGGTGTAACGTCATTTCTCGTATCATAGTTATCAACTTCCTGAAAACACATGCAATTTAAAATACGTCAACATAAAGTTGGTGAATCCACAGGTTTTGACTCCATATAAAAATAATACATTTTCCAAGTTCAAAAGTATAGTTTTGAAAATATCATTTTGACTCTCCAACGTTTAGTATATATATATCCTAGGTATAAAATTTTACTTACCAAATAAGTAATTTACCTATAAGTCTCATATACTATGAATATAAGTGTTTGTAATTCCATACAAACGAAAGTTGCTACGTATAAATCTTGTTTCAATTCTATACGAGTAAAACCGCTACGTATAAATCTATTTCAATTCTATACGAGTATGTGTGTTAGGTATAATTATCTACTTAATATACAAGTATTATACCTACCAGTTTCTTGTACCTAGAGTATAAGTGTTTGGGAAACATATACTTAACATTAATACTTGTATAACGACAAAGTATAATGCTTCTAACAATTTGCTACCATGAGTCCGTAACCGCGGCTATTTGACTAGTTTCAAACCTCTGCTTGATGCTACAAGTTTCGCATCTTGAGATAAGTTCCACACGCTTCATCAACGTCGGAACAATAAACAAACAAAAGGACAGTTCGTCACTCGCACACGGTTTTGTTGTAGCTAGCAACCACGAGTGGGGTTGTCAACCCGTATCTTATTCATACACGACTTCCTCGCTCACACGGGATTAACGGTTACAGGTCAGAGGATTTTCCCTAAGATTTCCAATCTTAGTTGATGAATACAATAGCTCATGTAGACTTGTCGAGTTCCGTTAGTTCTAGTAGTAAAATCATATTCGTGTCTAAAACCCTAAGTTATTAGACTATGCTTTTAACATTACTCCTAATATTTATAATACTTAGGTAGTACAACAGCTATAATTAGAATTAAAACCAGGTTTTATCTTGACATAAAATCAATAATAACAACATATAACGTTCCTAGTTTTATCTTGACATAAAACTATCAATAACAATATATAACATACTAAGTTTTATCTTGACATAAAACTAACAATAACAACATATAACATACCAAATTTTATCTTGACATAAAACCAATAATAGCAACATACTTATCAATTAACATATAGAACTTCCGAATATAACTTCGGAACTATATCGCACACAAAATATATATAGAATCCTAAGTATAACTCAAGATCTACATTAATATACTACTATAACAATAACATGCTAACAACTTTACGATAGTTGTATACTTTCAAATATGAAATAACTATATCCCGGTTATTATAACTATCTACGTTGATACTAATATACTATCATATAGACATAATAATAACGTATATACAATATTTAGCATGCGTTTTCTCCCGAAAATATTAGAAAGTGGGGTCGTGAAACTCACCTTAATAGCGTGATTTTATGTAATCTAAGCAGAAACGGTCAGCGGTACGAGGTCGTCGGGGCTCGGGATGCAAGAGGGCTTCAGCAAAGGAGAGAGGAGAAAGAAGTTCAGGTGTAAGAATGGCTGGGGTCGATCTTGCTATTTATAGTAAGATTTTTGGCCCTCACGACGTGAAAAACTCATTGTTCACGTCGTGAGTTTGGATCTTATCTCTTCGTAGACTTGCCATCCGTCTTCTAGCTTCCGAA